ATGCCCTTTGCCTCCCAGCTCTTTCCTCTATTTCCCTTGACTTTCCTCCTGTCCCACTATCATGCTCAGTCCCCACCAGGGTTTCAGCAATTCCTCTTGGTTACATTACCCTTGATCATGCCCTACCAGACCTCCCACACCCACCTCACCACCAATTTGGATCACTTGTTCCCTTGTCCCTGGGTTTGTTAACATCATCCTTTCCCCCCACTTCCCACTCTCCCATGTCCCCCCAGAACTGTTGGTCCCGTTGTTTTCTCCTCCATATTGTTCATCCAGTCTATCTTATGTAGACAGACCTGCGGACATACTAACATGCACAAAAACATGACAGCGCTAAACCAAGCAACAATATACAACAAAACAACAACAAACCACTGACAAAGAACAAATTAAAACACAAGAAAGAAAAGCTTATATGTAGTTAGTTCAAGGATTGTTGGCCTTTAGGAGTGTTTTCTAGTCCAGTCTGTTGAGGCACCACGCTCTGGCCCCAAAGTCTGCCTTCAGCATTCCCTGGGGACCTTGCTACTCCCCTCCCCTGCTGTTCCGCTGCACTCCCCCAGTGCCTTGCCTCGGTGTGACGGGATCAGATTGGGTGCAATTACCACACTGTGTTTCTAGTGCTGTCCCCCGCAGGGCCATGGGTCAGTGAGGGGCATCATGTCTCATAGTGGGGCTGGCCATGTGGTCCTCTCTGTGGACTGGCTGCTCTAATAGACTGAATTTTATAACGTAAGTCTTCCCCCCATAAATATTTTAGTATACATTTCTCAAACTATAAGTCACTTTTTACCAAATTATAATTTCCTTCATTTTACGTACTGAAATTAATGATAATCTTTAATATCTAATGCCCAAAACATTAAAAAAATTCTCCAACAGCCTGCCAATTATTTTTAATATCTAATTTGTTTAAATTAGGATTCTATCATAAACTATATAATATACTTTCTTATATCTCAAGTTTTTCACATTAGCATAAAATTACTGCCCCCTTTAAGGATCCCATCTAATCTTTTGAGTTGCTTTTCTAACTTTTTGACTTATCCTTGATCAAAGTGTTTGTGGCATCTACATAATCTACTGTCAACTTGAGGAAGGGGTGGAGTCTAGCCTGTCAATCAGCTCAGAGAGTTGCCCCCTCTTGGAAACAAAGATGGCCCCATTACTTGGCATTATGCGTTCCCAAATCTCGCTCGTGAGCAACAGATGTTGGTGAAATAGAAGCAAGTATGACAGGGCAGGAGAGGGAATTTATAGTAAGACAATGGCCTGGGAAATGCTTCTAAGCTGCAGAATCGGAACACGTCTGATGCTGGTGCCAGATAACCGCAGCTGTTCTCTGGACATCAAAAGAACTGTCCAAACTGCCTTTCCCTCCTTCGCTCTATGCTGCTAAAAAGAGGAACTACCTTTTCACTCCATTTTTTAAAAAGCTTACTAGTTTTGGCACTTAGCAGAGAGAACATTTTGGTTCCTCAGACTCAGTGTTGATCTTTTCCTCTCATCCAACAACTGTTCACTTACTGAGCATAACAATAAAGAGTGTCTCGCGCAGTCCTCTGCTGTATCTGACGGACTGGCTGCCTTCTAAAACGTCCCTCCTATGGCTTTCACGACACCCCACTTCCCTGACTTCCCTTGTACTTCATGAACGACCCCTTCTCTCTCTATGAGGCCGTCCCCTCCATCCACTTTAATATCGATGGTTCCCAAGGTTCTAGCTGAAGCAAGCGAGCTACAAAACTTCTTCCTGGGAAGAAGGTAAAACGACTCATTTACTCACCTGCTGCCAACAAGTCGATTCCGACTCACAGAGACCCTGTAGGATAGAGTAAAACTGCCCCCTAGGAGTTTCTGAGATTGTAATTCTTTACAGGAGTAGAAAGTCTCATCTGTCTCCATCAGAGGGGTTGGTGGTCTTGAACTGCTGGCCTTGTGGTTAGGAACCCAACTCGCAACCCACTATCACCAGGGCTCTTAGGATCAAAGGAAGTATGAGATACATATAAGCCATCCCCGCATTCCTTACCACCAGCTCCTCCCCCCCACACCAAGTCAAAACCCAACCTCACTGCAAATGGGTTGCTTCTGACTCATAGTGACTGTTGTAGGAGGGTAGAGCTGCCCTTGTGCGCTTACAGGAGTAGAAAGTCTCGTCTTCTTCACCCCTCACCCCTCCAGCACCGCCCCCCCTGCACCCACCCCAAACAGGGGTATGGTACAATACTAAAGAAATTTCACCAATGGTGATTTTCGTTTAAGATAAAATCGGAGCCTTTTATCATAACTGGTTTTTGAGATGAAACTGAAGATCATTTTAATCTAAATGTTTAACAGAATGGGTTTGATACAAGCACAGTGTTATTTTCAATCACGATAACTTAAGTTCTTCACGAAATCGGTGACTCATTTTAACACATTTTAAATAACTGCCATATAGTGACAGCATCATACATTGAGTCGAAAACAAGAGATAGCTATCTTTTTAAAGTTCAGCTGTACCAGTTACAAATATCAAATGATACCAATGAGACATTGTATTCAAGGCAATTTGTTAACTAGGAAAAAAAAAAAGCAGTTGCACAATTCCAATGGTCTTCTTCACTTCTTAAAATGACCACAGAACTTTTAATAAAGCAAGTATTATGTAATCTGCACAATTATACTGTTCTGCTAGTGAACAGCTATTTTAATATGCATGAAACAAATACAAGTATCTCTTAACTATTTTCATGAAAGCTCATAAAAGAGATCAGTATTTTAAATTGCATTTAAGATCCTTCCACACTGGAGGGAAGGGGAAGGTAGGGGAAGAAAGGGGAAGCGATCACAATGATCTACATATAACCCCCTCCAGAGGGATGGACAGCAGAAAAGTGCAGGGAGAAGAGGTCAGTGTAAGACATGAAAAAAATGATAATTTATAAATTATCAAGGGTTAATGAGGGAGGCAGGGTGGGGGAGGGGGGAAATGAGCTGATACCAAGGGCTCAAGTAGAAAGAAAATGTTTTGAAAATGATGAAGGCAACATATATACAAATGTGCTTGACACAATGGATGGATGGATGGATTGTGATAAGAGCTGTATGAGCCCCCAATAAAATGATTAAAAAAAATCCTTACACATAAACTCTTTTTGCTTCCTAGAAGTTGAAACCATAAGGGTAAAGGTCTATTCATCAAAAATTATTGTACATTTGATAGGAGAACAATGAGGCTTTCCCCCCCATAAAGAGTTACGCTATTAGAAACCCACAGGGTTCCGAGTCCTAGAGAATGGTTACGGGTTAGAATCAACTCAATAACAATAGAGTTTGGTTATTATCATAATGATCGGAAAAAAACAATGATTGAGTATTCTTTTTGCACTCTAGGTTTCGAATCTGGGTCAAAGGTTATACAATATTGACAAAG